GTCTCAACCATCCTGTATGGCTTGGAATGCTGGAGAATGACAACGAGTGACATAACACAGCTGTCAGTCTTCCACACACAAAATCCGTAGGATTTTTTGGCCCAACACAATATCTACCCATGACCTACTAAATAGATGCATGCAAGAAAGCATGAACAACATCATAGCGAGACGGAGCTGGGACTGAATTGGACACGTGATGAGGAGGGAACCATACAGCATCCCAAAAGTAGCCCTACACTTAACACCAGATGGAAAACGAAAGATAGGGCGACCCAAAACTACCTGGCGTCGGACGGTAAAGAACAAAATGAAACCGATGAACTTGACCTGGGGAGGTATCCAGAAGACAGCCCAAAACAGGAGTAGAGATTCTTCGTTGCTGCCTTACATGCCACTTAGGCTTAATGGGCAGTATGTAAGTAATTATTGTCATAGATGCGCAGTGCAATGTACGAGGGTCATGGATTTTACAAGTTTCAAACATAAGTTAGAATGAATTGTGCAGATGAACTTACTCTTACATAGTTCAGTTAATATTTTGTTTTTGATTTGAAGCCAGTGCATTTACTTGATTCACAGGCAGAAAACGCGCTTCAGTACCATCTGTGTTACTACATCACTTGATATCATATTGATTGCATCATTGGTTGAGTTTTAATCACAAGATAACTACGTAATTGAACGTCTGGTCACAGCTGTACGAGATGACAACATAATTTCAAAGTTTAATTTAGCGAGCATTTCAATATACTGACAGAGTCTGAGGAGTTCATTGAATGTTTAAGTCCATTACAATGTTCCAATAACCCAATCAACTTCCTCAGACGGTTGAAGCGAACAAAAATAAGATTCGTTCAGATAATTTATAACTTGCGATAGAAAAACAGACAACTTAACCATAGTAAGTGTCTATACAACAATTAATTAATCCCGAATCAAGTGGCGCTAGATGAAAATGTAACAAATTTTTAGTTGTTTATAACATTAGATGATTTGATAACGCTAATAAAAAATACGAAGCTTGTTTGCATCCTCTGTTGTAAGTGTTAAACCAACAAGTTAATAACGTACATTCTAGCCAATCAGCCCACCAGCTTGTATTAAGGTTATTACAAGTAAGTACAATCTGAGTAAAGGATGATTTTCTTGTATTTACGATGAACTGTCAATCGGAAGCCAATAACATTGTAAATTTGCACAATTTGTGAACTCAATGTCCTAATTTGCATAGATATTGGATGCTGATACCGGAAATTATACTGAAATGCAATCAGTTACAGTAGTAGACGTATATATTATGGCGAATTGCATAGATATCAAAATCAGCCTTCACAATCTTAAAAACCATCCGCCATTGCTACCCATAAAAAGTCGATTTCACAGCTGTAGCTTTTATATAAATGCCAACATCATCAGTAAAGTTGTAATCCGTTCTTCAATCGTTGTTATCACAACACGAACCCCCGTATCTACACAAACATGATAAATTCCTATATCTGCATAAATAGATGGATAATACGTAATTTGTAAAGGAGGAATGGGTTTTATCATTTACGCATCATTTCATTTTCAGTCAGGCACCAGGACAGCGTGAAACAGCTGACATGAATATGTACGATGGACTATAATCCCTGGATAATAATGTTTTTCATTTAGTATTGAGGAAAGACTTTCCACTTTTTGACGATTCAATGGTGATCGCCTTGACAGTACATGCAAAAGGTAATACTCACTTCAGCAATACATACATCACTGAACACAGACTCGCGTAATCTCACTGTATGTAGCTTTATGTAGCTAACATCACACATTTTCGCACAAGCATGGACATTAGTGGCCATTCATCCATACACTGCCGTACACTATTTTAAACTGTTCTGTATACATAAAAAAATATATTGGCATTTAATTTATATATTTCAATTAGACTGGGATTGCACAATCTGTACGTTCCATAAATTTACTATAAACACAAATTAACATGAGCTCTGCCCGACACAGCAAGTTACAGGGCGCGTGTTAAATACATGCGTGCTCAACTACAAGTATTCCCCGATGTTTGTTTTAGTTATTCATAGACCTTTCTATTGAAATACGGGCGTGAGTAACACATACATATGTACACAACTTGATTATGTATATATATATGTCAGGTAATTTACTGGTAGCACATGTATACATGAGCTGCCTATTTTACCTGTGTAGTGTAATATAGTTGCAGTGACAGTTCTGAATTCTATATTGCGACTTATCGTCCATTCCCAATTAAATCTTCGCAGCTGTTTTTTTATTCCTTGTAGAAAAAAAAATGTAAGAAAATTGTTTGAGTTGAAATATTTTTATCAATGACTCCATGGGAAACAGATAGTTGTACGTATAAACTATTGTTTTCAATTCTTTGCACATTAGATTGTATATGTCTACATAATTCATAATCACTAAATTATAGAAACAATCACAAAGTATACGCAGTTACATAACATTCATAAGTGTTTATAAATTACCTGAAACTGAATTGTCAGAGTCTTCATACATTCTCTGAATTTCTCGTTTGCAGAGGACCTTAATAACTGACTAATCAATACTCGGCTGTTTCAAAACTGTACACGACATACATGTATGTCTCCATTCCTTCCT